TCATCCTCATCCTCAGAGGCTGAAGAGGAGATCATCGCTGAAGACTATGATGATAACAACGTTGATTATGAAGCTACAAGGCTTGAAAATTTACCAACGAATTGGTACAAAGTTTTTGACCCTGCTTGGTAAGCAGTTCATAAATTAGCTCCTCCCCCCAATAGTTGAAAGAAAGTACTATTATGTATCATGGTAAAAAGATTACATGTGATTGTAATAATGTGGCACTTTCAATTACTCATTATATACTCCAAGAATACCATGGTAAAACCATGAAACAGGATCAAAATGGCTGTCACTTATAAATAACTATCATCCTCGTGTCTTGTCTTTAGTGGACTTCCTTACTACTGGAATGTAGAGACGGATTTAGTGTCCTGGTTGTCCCCCAATGACCCGGCAGCTGTCATCACCAAAGCCATTAAGAAACAGAAAGGTAATATATGGTCATAAAACTTAAGTGTGCACACATTTTTGTGCTTCTGTAAGTAACATTATTGAGACGTATGCTGCAACTGTTTGTGTTTTTCATCCCAGGTGAGACTGGACATGACAAAGCGGACAGCCACTACGAGAAGGCAGAGAGAGACCGGGATCGAGAGCGAGAGAGAGACAGAGAGCGGGAACGGGACAGGGAGGACGGGCGGGACAGAGATAGAGACCGAGATAGGGATAGGGATCGAGAGCGGGACAGAGACAGGGAGCGTGACAGACGGATACGGAGAGATGACAGTGCACCGTATAGCAAATCAAAGAGAGGTAATCTATGCATAATCTTATTAAATCGTCAATTAGTAGTTTAAAATGTTGCCTCAATAAGCCTGAATAAACACAAACTCTGATTTAGGAGGACCAGGAGGAGGTCGGAAACAGCAGCAGGAGGAAATGGATCCCATGGATCCCAGCGCCTATTCAGATGCTCCAAGGTAGTTAGTTTAAAATTAACGCTATGGCTGTGTTTGAAATGGTATAATAGCACACTATTCTTACTATTACTACTACTATATACTATATCTTTGCAGTATATACACTAAACAAAATTATAAACGCAACATTTTTGTTTTTGCCCCCATTTTTC